AAAAATTAATATATGCCGCAACACGTTTCAACTTCCCAGGTGAGAGAGACGGCAACAGTGCGTGCAACAGAGAGCGGCAGCAAACGCGTCGCAGTCGCAGTCGTCGGTTTGTTGATTTTAAGCAGTTGCCAGCGAGAGGGGGGCAAGAGTTATGCAGCTTCAGTTTAAAATAGTTTCCGCTGAAAAGAGAAAAAAATTAGAAAAAAAAGACGAAGTAGAACTTGCCACGCATGCAAAGACAACAACAATAGATGCGCCTGCTCGCCTTGCCACAGCCGGTCATTTCATATCGTTCGTGCAACTTTCTGGCACTGTGGAAAGTGCATGATTCAGCTGGTCAGTCGATGGCCACGCCCATTAATTACGTGCAGTGTGAACTGCAACGCAACAAAGCAGTTAATTTGATTTGTATTCCTGCCACTTGTCTGCCACCGGCAACTGCATTAAGTTGCACGCCCAACCCCGCTTCTGGCACACAGACAAAAGACGGGCAGCAATCGCTTAAGCTTGCAGCTCCTTGGCGATAAAAGGAAATGCCTTTTAAGATGCCAGCTAAAAAATTGTAATAAGAATCTTCTCGCTGTCAAATTCAAGCGAGCAGCATCTGATGGCAATTTATGTTGCATGCTTCACTCATATATTCATTTATTTAATTATATATTAATAAACGCTTACACCTGTAGGTTACATTAAGTAAACTTCACTTACATTATATTAAATCTAGCTATAAAAAGAAAGAATTAAATTAGGCAAGATTTAGCAACCGCACGAACTGAAAGTCTGCTTTAAACAATAGGTAATTTCTTAGTCTAGGTTTGCCGAAGATTAAATACCCTTACATACCGCTGCATGGTATGCACACACAATATAAAATCTAGATTAGTTGTTGTCTTGGGACATGTTACCCAAAATATGTGCTCTATACACCCGAGGCAGTTCTCTCTGAGTCCAATCTAAGTACTTGCCACATGCAAAAATGTATAGCACCCCACGTTGATTGGATCTGCTTTACATTTAAGTTTGTTCAAACATAAACAGGTAACAGAAGACGAGACAAGCTTAGTCATGGCTTCTTGCGTGGAATACCCAACCGAACTGTAAACAAAGCGCACACAACTCGAGAAGTGTCACCCAAAATGAGCTGTCAGAGCGGAGGGGAGGGGTATTTAGACGTGGCATTAGTGAGAGCTCAGCTGAAGAAATAAGACGGAGACAGAGACGGAAACTATGCACAACAGATGCGAGTGCAGATGCATGCACAGTGGGGCAAAGCTGATGAGCTGCAAGTTGTTCAAGGGTTCATCCCTTTTATGTTCCTTTACTAAATGTAGACATGGAACATAGTATCTATAGCTATCAGGCTACTACTATGGCCTTCGACTAGGACTTGGGCATATTTATATAAAGATCATTGAAAAAGAATGAGGGGCTAAGAAAGTCTGTCTGTTGGGTTTTGATACGAAAGTCATACTCAACAGATATTTATATATGTGAGCAATTGATTGGAAATAATAAGAAAAAAATCTCAAAATAATAAATATAGATTTCTCCAATTATGCCAATTTATAAATATACATTAAAGTACATCTGAATTTCTTTTTTAAAACCTTATTGCCATAGCAAGTATAATACATATAAATAATGCCCAATAATGATTTATGTGTGATTTACTGGAGATAAATTTGAAAATAATAGAAATATTTTGGCAATTATGTGGATATGGTGGGCGTCGGGCATGTGCGAACGCAGCTGGAAGCCGGCTATGTTTTCTGTGACTTGGGCGCGTTGTGTGCAATGAATTGCATTTATTTTGGTTGGCGTAATCGTAATGAAGACAACTGCCGCAAAAAAGAAAAAAGAAAAATGAAAATAAAACTAGTAGCTGCGACAAGGACACGGCCTAGACAGTGCAGCGCCAGTCCGTACTGGTCCGAGTCCGGGTGAGGGTAGGGGTCCGTGTCCGTGGCCGGGTGTGGGTGAGGGTGTGGGTTCCTGTCCATGTTTGTTTGTTTGTTTGTCTGTTTGCCAACTGTCTGGGCCAGCAAACAGGATAGGCAATAAAATAAGCAACAAAATGAAATGGCTGCAGACATTGTCAGCCGGCGACGGCATCTTGGAGACTGCAGCACCTGCCCGCAAAGATATATGGAGCTAGTTGCCCAAGGAGGCAGCAGAGGATGCCTCGGCGTGGGCGCGCATCCAGCTTGCGTTTACTGCGTCTTCTTCTTCCTCTCTTTTTTCGCCTGTCGCAAATAGTAAAAATATTTACCAATAGACGAGGGCGTTACTCGAGCTGCTGCTGACTCAACTATCCCACTCAATCTATATCTAGTTCTCCGTCTCAGTTTCCCTTTGGCGCTGGCTTGCTCGCTCGCTCGCTCGCTCCTAGCCCGGCTCCCGGCTCCCGGCTGGTGGCGCCACAGCTAACGAGTGGCCTTTGAGCGGCACGTTCGTGTTTAGACTCTTAACACATTTTTCGGTTCGCTTTCGTTTCGACTCAAGTGCAATCAGCAAAAGGAGACGGACAAAGGACGCACGGACGGACAGACAGCGGACACTACTTGGCCGGGGATAGCGGCACGTACTACGTTGTCTCGCCCAGACAGTTTGCAAACAGCAGACTAAAACCTCTAAACCAAACTCAACCCAACACCCGCAACTCGCCGCCACACCCCTGCACTGGGCTTGGCCAAAAAGCTATCACAGCTCGTGCCGCCCGCCTGGCTTCAGTTCGTCTTTCCGGCGGGTCTTCAAGATAAAAACTAGTGGATCAGCAGCACTTAATTACATGAAACGAAAACTGTTAACATTTCGCTTCAGCCACTGGCAGGCTGGGATGTACTTGTGGCCAGTGGCACCAGAAGGGAAAGGGGAAAGGGCAAGGGGCAGGGGCAGGGGCTAGCGGGCTGCTCTAAGTGGCCTGCACCATTGTTATAGCCTGGCTAGGCTCATAAAAGCATTGAGTGATGGCATGTGACATGATAATCATCGTCAACGCCAGCAAAACTTTGTCCAAGCTCTGCTTACAAGGCGATGTTGCACTGCCCGATAGAGAGAGAGAGAGTGAGAGTGAGAGTGAGAGTGAGAGGGGGAGAGAGTTAAACGCTGGCGCGTGCAGTCATAAAAGTGAACGCTTCCGGTTGAAGACGTGGCAGGGGCAGGTGCGGGGGCAGTTTGTGTGGGTGGTTGGGTTTCGTTAATTGACCTAATTGCTGCCTGGGAGTCAGCCTTGGGGGACGATTGAAAAGCCAGCAAAACGTAAGCTGGCAGTAATATTGCAATATTTATGTGGCAGCAGGCCGCGGCAGCTAAGGCAAGCATACGCCAGGAGCAGCGACCCACAAAAGCTCATAGCCAGAGCCAGAGCCAGAGCCAGAGCCGGAGCCGGAGCCGGAGCTGGAGCTGGAGCCAGTGCCAAAATGGGTGGTCGCTGCGGAGTCGCGTTCGCTGTGCCGTTGCAAGCATAATCTGATGCGATTTTGCGATTTGTAACAGAGAGAAGCCGCTTTTGAAAATGCAACAAGAACAACAGCCGCGGCTAGGATGGGGCAGCAGCAGGCAGTTGCCATAAAAGGAGCTAAAGTACAAATCGTTGTCACATGTGAGCCGCATTTTTATGGCCACCGGCTTGGGAATTTGCTGCTGCTGTTGCTGTTGCTGCCGCATTCGCCAAAAGCCTCCGGCATCAGGAATTTATTGTGCGCGCTGTAAATGGAGTGGAGCAGGCCACTGTTTGGGCATCAGCGAGTGGCCACCTTTACCAGCCAACCGGACAGCCAGCCAGCCAGCAGAAGCACCATCGGCACCGCCACCTCCTCCAACTGCTGCTGCCATTCCATTCAAATGTGCAACAGGTCAACTTACATCAATTCTCAAACTGGCTGCGGGCGCTGCAATTTTTATTGCTTTCACGAGAATCGCTCGACGACGAGGCCCTTAAAAGGCCGCCACTGGCTGTGCCCGGAGCCGCACTGGTTCCACAGAGGCTGCTGCCTCTGCTCGCTGGAATGCATTGGTAATCGAGCAGCAGAGGCAAAGATGATTCAATTGATTGATTGATTGATTGATCGCTACCCGCTGCCCGCTGCCCGTTGTACGTTTTCAGCTGCTGCCTCGCTCTGCAATTGCGATCACAAAATGACAACGCACCAAGCGATAAGCGAGCCGCACACCGCTTGCCACGCCTCCCCCGGCCCAGTTCAGGCAATGCCTTATCAGGCAAGCAGCTCGAAAATAGCCTAAAGAACTTTATAGAGCTGATGACGTGAATTTCAGTAGCATCTGCCTACATACGTATCAACTCGTTCATCAGCAGCAAACAGCTTGGGGTTAAGAACATAAAATGTGAATTCGATCGAACTAGTTCCGATTCGAAAGTCAGCCCTTTTAACTAGAACCCCAAAAATGTGAATATAAAACAATAATCTGCTCTCAGGCAACTGCAAATTTCTTTGAGTTTGTTAAAGAGTGCTTTTAAACTAGTTCATATTTAGTAGCAGAGACTTAAATAACTAGAATTAAAAAAAAATTTACTTTAAGTTGCACAGCACTGGACTTGAAAACTAGTTCATGAGCGGAAATTCAGGAAAAATAATTTAAAAATACACTATTTATATCTGTTCTAATTTGGAACTAGTTCAGCTTAGAACAATTATTTTTGTTATTTGCAGCAAAGATTGTTGTGCGTCCGCTGCGTGTATATGAACTAGTTCATCTAAGCTCGTTAAAATATATAACTATTGAACTAGTTCCGATTTGGTGTGCTGTAAAAAAGCAGCTGAGCTGTTCAGTTTAAGTATTAGATGGATTTATGCTCACATCGATTTGAGTCAACAAATGAACTAGTTCTGAACTGTATTCGAATGTCAGAAGCAGTGTTTACCATGAGCTGGCAGGCAAAGTCCAAGCTCAGCCGAAACCCGCGCGTTGATAAGACATAAGACCGCATTTTTTGTCGATTTCACTTTCATATTTGTAACGCATCCGTCAGATACATTTGAACGCTCGCTCGCGGCGGATCGTTCGATTGAACCAGCTCGCACATTCATTTGGTATTCGTTGGGCATTCGTTGAGCATTCACTATGATGCTGGCGCAGAGCATAAGGCGCGCCATTTCGCAGCTGACGCCCCCGATGTGCCGCCCGCTGAGCGCACGCATCGTGGACAAGGTTAACATTGAGGTGCAGCCGGCGCAGTCCGGAGCTGAGGCTGGGACTGGGGCTGGGGCCGCGGCGCTGACCTTTCCCGGGGTCTGGCTGCGCGACAATTGCCGCTGCCCGGCGTGCTACCACAGCAGCTCGCAGTCGCGGCAATTGGACTGGAACCACTTCGATCCGGGCGTGCATCCGCTGGCGCTGCACGTGGACGCTGCCAAGGAGCAGCTGTATGTGCGCTGGAGCGATGCGCACGAGAGCAGCTACGAGCTGGACTGGCTGCGACGCCACAGCTTTGATGGGCAGAGCCAAAGCGCCTACCTGAACGACTTCTATCGGCCACGGACAAGCCACTGGGCGGGTGCCCAGTTTGAGCAGATAGCGCAGCGCTTCAGCTACGACCAGGTGATGGCCGAGGATGAGGCACTGCAGCACTGGCTGCAGGCGCTCGCCGTCTACGGCGTGGTGCTGCTCAACGGCGCGCCGCTGGACGAGGGCGTGGTGCGTCGACTGGCGGAGCGTGTGGGCTTCATACGACGCACCACATACGGCGAGGAGTTCATAGTGCAGGCCAAGCCGGGCGCCAAGAATTACGCATACCTCTCGCTGCCGCTGCCACTGCACACGGATCTGCCCTACTACGAGTACAAGCCCAGCGTGAACCTGCTTCACTGCGTGGTGCAGACGCAGTCGCGCGGCGGCAGCAATCTGCTCGTGGATGCCTATCACATAGCGGACCGTCTGCGGCAGGAGCAGCCGGAGCACTTCGAGCGGCTCAGTCGCACGCCCGTCGACTGGAACGACATTGGCAGCGAGGACGGACGCGAGTTCCACAACATTTGGCGTGCGCCCGTCATCTGGTAGGTAGCCTCCGGCCACGTGCAGCAAACTCTAACGCGAAACTCTGCTCCAAACAGCCTGGACGCCGCCGGCGACTACACGCGCATTAACCACAGCGTGCCGCAGCGGGACAGCCACTTCAATGTGCCGCTGGCCCAGGTGCTGCCCTGGTACGAGTCCTATGCGCGATTTGTGCAGATGGCACGCGCCGATGCGCACTCCTTCAAGACGCAGCCCGGCGATGTGTTGACCTTTAACAATCTGCGGCTGCTCCATGGCCGCACCGGCTATGATGACACCGCGGACAATTCGCGTTACATTGTGGGCGCCTATCTGGACTGGGATATCATATATTCGCGGCTGCGCGTGCTCAAGCAGCGCCTGAACAAAGCCTCCGGCACGGCAGCTGCTTAAATGTGCCAATAAAAAAGTTAAAAAAAAAAAAAGTCAGCGACATATTTTCCAAGCCATTTGCGTTGAGCTCATTTGAATAGTTGCCCGGCTATGGGCTCAGCCGTGGCACATATGCCTGCCACGCCCATTATGTTATATGGCCAAATCCGTGGCTGACTCGGGCCACAAAAAATCCAAGTTAAATCCGCCGTCGACTGTCGTCTGTCGGCAGTCGGCAGTTAAAGCAGCTCAAGCGCGAAAATGAAAAGTTGTAAAAAATCATGATGATCCTGGGCGCGTTGTTGCGGATTATTAGCGTCAGGATGCTGACAAATCGCTTGTGAAGATGATTGACAGTGGGCGGGCTGGGGCGGCTTGGGGCGGAGTGGGGTGGGGATAGGCGCAGTTTCTGCAAATTGGCCGCCGCGACAGCCACATCCGCACCGCATTCGGTAAATATGCAAATTTCGCCTCGCTTCTAAAGTGTCAAATGTTGTCAACTTGTGACGGCACTCAAGGATGTGTACCTGCCACAGCACTCAAGAGGCGCCCAGCCGCGCTCCATGCTCACCTGCTTGCTGGCTCACCTGCCTGCTCATAGTAGACGCTATTCAGATTTGAAGTGCATTAACCTTTAGCAGGCGCCCAATGAAAATGCCGTTAATCGCTTAACACTCGGCATTCCAAGGCATGCCCAATGCCTAGACCCAAGCGCTTCAGGCCTCACATGAATGCCAGCGGGTGGCAGCTTTTCCTCCAGTTCCCCCTCTCCCCCTCGACCTTGCTCTCTCTCTCGCGCGTTCTGAAACTTTCTATGCCAATTTCTTTTGAATATTTTATAGAGCTCCATTATGCCTACTTATGTCTTGTTATAGTAATAAAATAAAATTTAAAAGAAACGTAGCTGGGGGCCGTTCTCCAAATCGTTAAGGAAAATACGAGTCGGAAAAATCTACTGTAACTGTTCAAGGAGCAGCAACATCCAACGACAGCAGCAACAACAGCAACAACAACAACAGCTCTGAGGTCTGAAAACATTTTTTTGTACAACATTTTAACAACAGCAAAGCAAAAAGGAGTGAGAGCAAAAGTGAAGTAGCACAGCAATGGCCCAGGGGAGTGGGCTGCGGCGCTTCCAGGTTGCGGTTGAATCGGCTAGGTCGACTAGCCTGCGCACTCTAATTTGCCAATTGAGAAATATGCCTGCATATATATAGCAATAATATCAAGTAAGACATTTGTGTCTTATGGATATATACTTTTTTTTTTATAACCCACATTTCATGGATACATTTGTATCGCATGGAGTACAGTCTGAGATTCATTTGGCTCTATATGAATAATACGAAGTCAGACAATTGTATCTTATTGATATATATATATATACGTGTTTTCCATACCTCATGTATCATAGATACTTTTGGAGCTCACAGATACATTTGTATCTCATGGAAGACAATTTTATCTGGGGTACATTTGTGTAGGCTGCAAATCGAGTAATATAAATAATATGTGTTGGCATAATAACAAGTACAAAATGTATATGTTTAAGCTTTATTTGATTTTAATATATCTCACAATACATAGATACGTGGGGCACTCACAGATATATTTATATCTCTTTCTTTTGGTTCAATGAGAATAATAGCAAGTAAGACATGTGTACCTTATGGATATATGTATGTTTTTATATTCTCACAGTTCCTAGATACTTATAGCACTCACAGATACATTTGTATCTGACTAAAGACGGTCGTATCTGAGATACGCGTATAACATAACATAATAACATAATAATATAACATAACAGGCACCATATTTGAGATGCATTTGTGCTAAGCTACAAATTGAGGTATAGGTATTGGAATGAGAACTTTTTAACTTAAGGATACACGTTGCACTCACATATAGATTTGTAACCCATTTAAACCAATCATATATCTGACATTTATGCGTCATATACTCTGGCATGTGGCTTAACCTGAAACTAAATTATACTATTTTCAAAATTTTTATGGATTCTTCAATAATATCTTTCTCATACACATTATTTATCCAAGGATATCCGCGAGATCGTAGGTTCTTTAGTATTTATCCAAAAGATATTAAACATATGCATTAAATATGTTTTTCATTTCATATTGTTCTTTACGCTTGCGACTGGTTGCTTTGATAATTTGTATATATATTATAGTTTTCACAAATTGCAAAGTAACTTGAGGATAGAGCTTAGATCGATTTAATTTTATCTTTATCTAATGCCCAATTTTGTTTATATATGATTAATAACATATTTGGCATGTCTTTAAGCGTGGTTGGTTTCATTAGATACATTTAAACACTGCATAGATACATTTGTATTTTACAGATACATTTGCTATTGTAGAACCGTTGCTCGAAAAGTATGCCACAGAACTTATTCTACGCACGACCCCGCCAAACGGTATCTAATCAAGCATTGAACAGCTTGTTGCATACTTTTGGGACAGAGTAAATGCTGAAATTATGAAAAATAGCTGCAGCTAGCTCAATTTGCAATTTGTGAAAATACCAGGGCACAGCTAATCATCCCGTCTTGCTGTACAGCATCGGAACTTTTCTTTTGGCTTTCATGCGTTGCGAGGAGCATTTCCGCATTGCTTGCGCCGTGGGTCCAATGGGAGCTGATCCTGGCGCCTGCTCCATCAGAGTGTGTGTATGTATGTGTGTGTGTGTGTGTATATTCGTATTCCCTTAACACGCATCATAACGCCCAGACGAAAGGCGTACGAATTATATAGCTTCAGAGTGAGAGAGAGAGAGAGAAAGAAAAAGAAAGAGAGCAAATGAAAAGTCTATAAAAAAGTTTACTTTTTTAATACTTTTCGCATTTATATATAATAAAAATCTTGTAAAAATGCGCCTTTTTTGCACTTCACAATGCGAACCTTGAGTGTGTGTGCGTGTGTGTGTGTGTTTGTTGTGTGTATAAAAGCTGTACACTCCCGTTTAGGGTTCAGCGCAAAATTCTGTTATACTCGACTGCCGCTAGCAACAACTATGACTCGAGCTTGGGCTTGGGCTTGGGCTTGGGTCTGGTCTCTGGCCCTTTCTCGAATGGCTTCCAGCACTCGTATTGTAGCATTTGCTGCAACGACAACACCAATGGCAACAGCAACAGCAACAGCAACAACAACTTGTGGCAGGCAGCACTTGAAATCCAAGCGGCGTAATTGCCGCACTGTAACAGACGCTGGCGATGACGAGGATGCTTCTTAGCCGGGCAAAGCATCTCCTGGGGCAGAAAAACGCAGCTATGGCAAATGAAGAAAAAAAAAAAAAGCCTTTGAGTAGAGCATCGGCATCGGCAGCCGCAGCAGTCAGCCAGGGGCGGCAGCAGGGTCTGCCATGCGCCAGTTGTGGCAGGCGGCTGCGGTCGCCATCTAAGCATAACAAAAAAAAAAAGCAAAATATACAACATTATTGAAGCAAAAAGGTTTTAATGCCGGCCTAAGCTTGGCCCTGGCAACGGATACGCCCAATTGTGCTGGGCATTTCCATTGGCATTTCTAGCCATGGCAACCGAGCCGTGGGCCACCCAAAATCAAAATCGTGTGGGTCGAGCGGACAAGGCGCAACCGTGCTAAAGCTGCGACCATGTGCAGCATGCTTCAGAGCTGCCACAAATCCAGGTTGCGCCTGCTCTGCGCCTGATTGGCCAGCTAATCCTGTGCATATCTCGCACGCTCCCGTGCCCGCAGCACTCCCATCTTTTGACATGCCACGTTTGGTGGCGCGTAGCGAATTCAAATTCGCCACTCTTTGGCGCAGCGCTTAATACACTAAAAGCTTATGGTACTCTGTTTGGGGAGGGGGCTGCGGGCTGCGGGCTGTGGGCTGTGGGCTGTGGGCGGGGTGTGTAGCTGGTGTTTGGGGTTGCGCTGCGGCAAACGGCAAGTTTTTTCAGCATATTTCAATTTTTCAATTTTTCACTTTAATCAAATTAAAATTCATTCGTCGCGCTTATGAAGCGTGCAAATGGAGCTGCCACTGCGTGGCATCAACGACGTGTTTTTGTTGTGCTGTTTGCTGACAGTGGCAGCACAGCTTTGTCCTTGTTTGTGCAGCATTGCCAGCTAGAGAGTCAGCCAGCCAGCCAGGCAGAGAGCCAGCCTATTGAGCAGCCACCATCCAGCCGAGTGGTTGCCCAGCCAAGCGCCGCTTTTTTGTTATTTGTTAAGTTTTGCTGTGGGCCAAAACTTTGTTCGCCGTTTTGCATTGCGGTTGGGCCGGCTGCGTCTTCCGCTAACCCCCCGGATCTTGCTGGAACTTTCGAGCGCTGCAAGGCATTTTTCGGGCAACTACAATGAATGTACATTTGGGCGTGTGGCATGGATCGGAGCTGGGGCAACTGAGTGCAACGGAAACAGCAGCAGCGCTTTTTGCAACCCTTGAGGCGCTGAAATTTGATAAATATGCGTATTAGTTTCAGTTGCCGGCTCGTGGACACAAAGTTGTAAAAGGGCCAGGACCAGGAGCAGGACCAGGAGCAGGACCATGGAACAAGCACCAAGGAGCAGCGCCAGCGCCAGCGGCAATATCAAATACTAAGCAGCCCTAGGGGCGAGCATGTTACTTAAATTGCGCTTTAAAATAATTTGCTTTGCATTTTATCTGCTGCGTGATTGAAAATTCACTGAGCGCTGCTCAAAAGTATGCTTCATTTTTTGTTGCTACCCAAGGGGTGTAGCTGCAACAAGGGTGACGCAACAAGCTGACGCACCGCAGGGCGCCATAAGCTTAAGCTTCGTATTAAGAAATTAAAAATTCTCAACCATTTAAGGGTCAAGTTCTTTTGGACAGCTTAGCTAGGTAGGTTATACGCTTTGCCCAGGCGTGTATGTCCATATTTTCATTTCATGGCAAATTTAGGTTATTTATAAAATATTATTAGATCAAATACTGCTCAGCTTGGATAATTCTGACTTATTATTTACAATGAGTATGATAGGTTCGCGCTTGCCAAATGCTTTTAACTATTCGCTGCACAGTATAAGATTATTTTATGTAAAAGTTTAATTACATATCCTGGTGGACACTTTGGAAGAAACCAGCTAGTTGATACGACAGGGTTTTAACTGACTTCAAGCTGATTAAGTAAGATTCGTCAACTGTTACATTCCATAGTTTCCATTAGTCTCTCAGTTTTGTAGCTTCCTTTGATGCAGGTCCAACCAGTTGCCCAGAAAACAATCGAACTGAATCCTGAACTGCATCTTATTATTTTCAAAAAATATCTTAGTTGAAAATGGAAAACTTTTGAGCAAGACTCAGGCTGAAAAGCGTAAATAACTTGAGTCCCATTTATCTTACCATTTTTCCAGCCAATTTCGGGCAGACAAACAACTTAGCCCGCATAAACGAGCTGCAAGCCTTACGAACCGATGCCAAAGGCAGAGCGCTGGTTCAAATCGTGCAACAAATGGGCTTGCAGTCCTGAACGGCATACTATAGTCTGGCAACTCTGCCAGCTGTCTGCTCGGGTATTTTATATGCCACAATTTTCGGTACTCGGCTGGAAAAGAACGCATACTTCACCTGCGACAGTTTGTGGAATCAACACCCCCCCCCCCCCCCCCCCCCCCACCACCCATACGAAAAAAAATGAAATAAAATCACATTTGTGACCCATTGAATTTCGTAATATATATTAGCAATTAGTCCACTTAATTCGATTAAACTTTGTGTCTTGTTTGCTTTGCTTGTTTTGTTTATCGGTTGGCTTCGTGTTTGCTTTTCCATTTATTTTATTCAAGTACAACATAAATGATATATGCGTGTGTATATGTAGATGCGCACACACATATACACACATATATATATATATATATATATATATGTATATACCTAGAGGATATATAGGTATGTATATGCATATACGTGTGCAGCTTGTTGCTCCTGTTAGGCTTGTCTTTAATATATATTTTTATTTACTTAGCTTTTGCTTCGTTTGCCACAAAAGTTGCATAAGTTAATACACGTGTGTTTGTCTGTGTGTGTGTGCGTGTTTTAGTTTTAAACATATAATTATACATATTTGTAGGGGCATATATATATATATATATGTGCGTGTGTGTGTGAGTGTATAAGTAAATACCAACTACAATACTTTAATATCAGACAATGTTTGTTTTTTTTGCTGCCTTTTGATCGTTTTTTTCTTCATTCAATTGCTTTTTTAGTCAAATTTTTTGTTATTTGTTTTATTTTTTTTTTTTTTTTTGTCATATGTATCTTGTTACAACATAATAATTAGCAATAAATATTGTTGATTACTGTTCGCTGTTTAATTTATGGTTAATTTTATATGGCTTTTGCTTTTGCTTTTTTCTTTTTTGAGTATTTACAAAAATCTAAGAAAAAAAAATTGCCGCTGTTTTGTTTGTTCTTGGTTATATAAAGTATGTATATATATAAATATATATATATATATATATATATATTTATTTATATATATATATATATATATATATATATATATATATAGATATATATGTACTCATATATATGCATTTAAATAGTGTTTACGTTAATATATAAAATTGCTTTTGCTTTTTTATTTATTTTTAATATATATATTTTTATGAACTTGCGACACACACAAAGATAATAAACGTTAATTCTTTTAGAGATAAAATGTTATATCTTAAAAAAAAATACGAAAAAAAAATGATTAAATCTATTTAACTTGGCAAGGGTGTATACATATGTGTATGTGTGCGTGTGCGCGTGTGTGTGTGTGTGTAGGATATGTAACGTTAGTATTGTTGTTTGTTCTTGCACTCAACTACATGGAAATAGTTTTAAGCACAATTTGTGCAAATCGCCAGACAAAAAAAAGCGTGCAACAATTTGCCGCCTCTTCTGGCACGCTCATGTTTGTTGCACGTTGCTTTGTGTGCGCTTTGCTCAGAATATACAAATACATCAAGCATTTATATATATGCATATTTTTATTTATTTATGTTTATATATATATATATATATATGTATTTAATTATATATATAATAAATCAAATACAGTTTACGCCAACAAAAACGTTTTTTTTTGTTTTTTTCTTTGTTTTTTTTTTTTCGGTTTTTTTGCTGGCTTTGCAATTCATAATTTCAATTTATAATTTAAGTGTATAGTTAAGATTAAGAAAAAAAAATATATTTATTTATTTATATGCGTGTAAATGAAAATAAATAAACGGCTTGACATATCAACTAATGACTAATTTGGTTATGTTTGTGTCTCAGTTTTTTTTAAGTACTTTTTTAAAAGAGTATTTATTTTGTTTTTGTTTTTCTGTTTTTCTTCGCTCTTTTGTGGATTTTTGTTGATTTTGACGCGGAAACGGAAGTCAATTTGTCAGCTTTTAGGGCACAGAAATCTTAGATATGTGTGTGTGCGTGTGTGTGTGTGTCTGTGTTTTCCAAATGCTTGCGAGTGTGTGTGCGTGTGTGAGTGTGACTGACTGGGCCTGACTTTTTCGCGCTCAACTGGCGCACATCAATTTATATGCTAATGGCGCCAGCAAGTTATTTAAAATACATATGCCACGCCCACACGCCGCTACAGCCCAGTCAAAAAAGTAAAAAAAAAAAACAAAAAATGAAAAATAATCACACAGAAAAATCCAATTTATTTAAATATATATAAATGTTTTAAACACACGCACATATATGTACTATTGTATGCATGTGTGTGTTGGTGTGTGTGTGTGTATAAATTAATATGGTTTCGCCTGGCTGCAGCACGCCTACGTTGGCTGCCTGGCTGCCTGGCTGCCGGCCACGCCCCCTCGTCATGTTGACAAAATTCAGTTAACGCAAAAATCTCATTTAAATATGCATGAAGGCAGCGTCCAGGCCGCAATTGAATTTCTCTTTCATTTTTTATTTATTATTTATTTATTTTGTTGCTCTTGTTTTGCATTTAACTTGCTGCAGGACACTTCATAGTCTGACTGTGTGTGTGTGTGTGTGTGTGTGTAACTGTGTGTGTGTGTGTGCGCAACGCATTGTTTTCGGAGCCATGTCATCGGCTAATTATGCGGCCCAGGCGCAACACACAAATCTCAGCTTAAGAGCAGCAGCATGTTAACTGTTCAGTTGTCCGTCCGTCCGTCTGTCCGTCCAGTTGATCAGCATATGTCCAGTCGGTCGCTGCTCCAGTTGGATATATAATATATCATGGTCACGGTCGCCGACTGTGGCAATGGACATTGGGGCAAAATGACAAAAGCACGCAGACAAATGCGCGGGGGCGAAACCAGCGCATAGGCAGTGGAGCGAGGGGGCAACGGAGGTGTGGAGGGGAGGGGGTTAACAACTCTGAATGGCGAGTCTTGTGCAGAACACGAAAATAAATTCATTAAAGCATTTATCAAGTTCGACACTTGCTGTCATATATCATGTTACATTTTGAGCTGTAACATGTTTAATCCGCGGCCCCAGTCAAATAAAAGAGTTAAAATCAACAACAGAAAACAATGTGTGTGTGTGTGTGTGTTTAAAATGTAACTGTGTAAATGCAAGCAAAGGGCAGTGGCATAGGAGCAGGGGGCAGCGGCAGCGGCAGGGGTAACATATCAGTGTTCAGCCTACAAAGCTTTTATATATATATATTTTTTATTTTCTTGTTTAATTTGTGTAACGTGTTTCGTGTTGTGTTGTGTTGTCCCTTGTTTGTTTGTCTGTGAGGCGCGCGCGGCATGTCGGGTCTATCACATACTACAGTGAGCACTGCCTGTTGTGCGCCAAAGAGCAAACAGCTACATAGATCGCATTTCGCGTTTCTACTGTACACTTGCTAAGAGATTTGGAGATTGTCTAAAAAACAAGTTACGCAGCACTGCAAACTGCAGCTAGTCTTTCTCAACGCCCTTCGTCACGCCCCTGCCCCCGCCCGCCCCTTCCGCTGCTGCTGCCCCTGAAAAAACACTCAATTTGGCTGTGGCGTGTTTTTTTTGTTATACCACGTTTACTGATTTGCATGCATAATTCAGATTGAAAATTAAATTCAAATAAATGTATTTTAAATTAATTTTACTGCTGCTGCTGCTGCCGCTGCAGTCGCTGCTGCTGTTCGTCTGTTTATTATTATTATTATTTGTACGCTGCCTCAAACAAATTGTTATGCAAAAGCGCGTGAAAATCAACCAACAAATGGCAAATAAACATCTGCATAATTAACAGCAAAACTGTTTGCATACATTTTATAAATACAGATCGAAACAAAAATAACAATAATAATAATAAAACTGCCGTTGAAGGCAAACCGTAAAGGCGAAAAAAGTGTAAGCTATAAAAATAAATACGTGAAAGCACAAACGGCAAATGTTATATATTGAAAATACAAATCGAGACAAAAACTAAAATCTGTGATGAATGCGATATGCAGAACAGAGTACAAAAAAGTAAAAAAATTATTGCCTGGGCATTAGGGGTAGTCAGCATATGAGTAAAACAAATAGCAGCCGAAGAGGGCGGCAGCAGGCGTGACTGCAATGCATTAACTCTTGACCTAACTCATGTGACAGACAAGTTAACATTTAAGGTTAAATATATCTTGAATACCCCTGTTGCATGCTGTTCCATGCGAAAGCCTGCTGTTTGTTGGCCTGTTCTTGTTGTTGTTGTTGTTGTTGTTGACTACGCCTGTTTGTCTACCCTGCACCATTATTCCATTCTATGCAAAGCTGCGCCCCACTGCGCGACACACGCTCCACGCAACATTCAACATGCAACATGCAACTCTTTTCGCACTTGTTTCAAATTTATAACTGTTTTTTTATGACCCTCAAAACTGTTACGGACACACACACACACTCGCAGGCTCACACTTTAAATTGTAATTAGCATTTGGCTTGTTGTTGTTGTTGGGTTTGCCCCGTGTTGTGCAGTGTTCGAGTATTGTAGACTAGAATGCCGCTGAGTAGCTTAACTAGAGAATTTCGGATGATTTTTCGTTTTGTTTTTAGATAGTTAAGTATATTATTTTATGGGGAGACTCCGCTTAGGGTTGTGTATATAGGTATTAGTATATGTGGGTGTGTGTGTTTGTGTGGGGGGATTAATTAAAGCATGATGCCGAAAAAGGTCAGAAACTTGAGTAAACTGTACAATTTATACAAAAACCGATACCTAGCCAAGTGTATGAAATTGAAATCCGCTCTGACATATTCCGTTTCCGGTTCGATTCAACTGCATTTGCGGGCGCGCCGCTGGAAGCGTTTCATGCGCAACGACCACTCATCCTTCCATTCCAATACAACTGAACTGGGTCCAATGGCCAGATAGCCCGGCGCTGCCTCCGAGTCGCGTCCGAGTATAAGATACGATCTGTAAGGATTAAGCAATAAAGGGCATACCATAAATTGAGTATCAGAGAGAAAGAAACGTCAGTTCAGTTGGAGGAGGGAATACTCACTTGTTCAGCTTGATCTTGGGGCACTGACACTCGATACTCTTGCGCGGCACCAGCAGCATCATGTTGCCACGTCCCAGCAGCGAGCTGGTCGTGCCCGACATCGGGTTCCGCTTGAAAATTGTCTGTATATTTATCTCGTACTTGTATATCTCGTTCTGTCGCTCTATCGAAAACTTTTCGGTGCTTATATCCTGGGAGGCGCGATCATGGCCAATTACCTTGGCCAGAAGAGCTGCAAGCGAGTAGAAATTAGGTTAGGCTCGAGCATATGGATTGGAAAACGAGCATACGCACCGTAGTCCTCCATGCAAAACTTGTTGAGATTCAGCTTCTTGGGACTGGCCTTACACTTGCCGCAATCTGTGTGGAATATATTATAAACATATGTTTATTTCAATGTATTGTAGATTAGAACTCGTTGCTTGTTACTCGCAATGGTTTACTCGTCAATAAGTTACTTGAAAATCTCAACTCGCTTTGCGAAGTTCGTTACTCGTCACAAGGAACTATTCACTTGGTACTCGTCGGAAGTCATCATTTATTTGCCACAAGTCACTTTTCACTCGTTACTCGTCACAAAACAGCTTTTACTTCTTACTCGTCCCTAGCTAGGCGTACTCGTTACTCGTCACTAGTCAGATTTGACTCGTCACAGCTCACTTTTCTCTCGTTTCTCGGCACTAGTCACTTTTTACACGTTACTCGGCACAAGTCACATTGTACTCGTTACTCGTCACAGAGAACTATTCACTTTGTACTCGTCATAAGTCACTTTTTACTCGTCACAATTCTTTTTTTACTCGTTACTCGTCACAAGCAACATTTTACTCGATACTCGTCACAGCGCACAATTTACTCGTTACTCGTCACATGTCACATTAAAATCGGTACTCGCATCTCCATTAAGCGGCCCTAGCCAGTTGCTACTTACACTTTTTCATTTCCTCAGCCTGGGAGCCTCCGCCATCTTTGTAGTCGCCAGCTCCACCGCCGCCGGCGCTTTCAGCTTGAATCATATTCGCATTTGTGGGCACTTCTGTTAATTGCAAGCAAGCACGTGAATGAGGATTACGCTAGAGTACAGTGGGGCAAGACAGCGAGAGCTGGACACTTACTTATGCAGGGCGCCACATGGGAGCGCGTCTGCTGATAGCCGCGAGCACAGCGATTGCAGGTCAGGCCGGTGACGCCCTCCTTGCAGGGACACTGGCCACTCAGATGATTGCAGGTCTTGCCAGTCGAGCCCACGGGATGGCAGTCGCAGCCTGTAAGACAGAGTGGAAGAAAAGAGACAGAGGCAGAGAGAAAGAGAGAGAGAGAGAAAAAAGGAGAGAAGGAGTCATCATTAGAAAGATATCTGCCCAGTTGACAACCAACTAGGCCGTTGATTGATGACCGAGCAGCGTCTTAACATCGCCAGGCGACGGCTTTAACAACACTTACGTTTGCAGACTTTACGATGATTGGGCGGCTTGGTGGCGTCCCGATAGTAGCCCTCACGGCAATAGTGGCAATACCTTCCGGTTGTATCGTGCTGACAATTGTAGCAAACGCCGCCGGACACCCGACCCGACAGCTTGTACAGCTCCAGATTGAATCGGCAGCGACGTGCATGTCCATTGCACTGGCACACTGATAAAAACCAAAGAAAATGGCATTGGAAATTTAATAATAGTTAAAACAAGTATTAAAGAGAATATTTTCATATGCATTCGATTTACCTATTATCATTATCTTAACCTATTCGAAATTTCAATATATTTGTTAGATTATAGGACTGATACAATATAAGTTATTAGGTGTGATATATTTATATCTCAGGAGACGCAATTTGAACAGTACCGTAAAATAAATCAGCAGCTTTTAATGCTGAGAGAAAGTTTAATTATGTTGAATCATAATCAGGAAAAATTGGTGAGTTTTATACAAATGCTTTTCCCCCTTACATAAGCTATTTTTAAAATCCAAAAATTTGGCATTCACTTAGGAATGATCTAACTATTGTCAACATTTTAAATTCCAAACTCTTACAGCTAGAGCTCGGCATTGTCAATCAGTTAGGTAACCAACCAGTGAGCCAGTCAAGTCGGTCAGTCAATAAGTTAGTCAATCAATTAATCTATTAGTCCGCCAGCCAATCAGTATGCCCATCAGTCAGTCTGTCCGTCAATCAGTCTAACCGCCAGTTATTCAATCAGTCTGTCACTCAATCAATCAGTCTGTCAGTTGATCAGACAATCAATCAGTTTGTCAGTTAATCAGTCAAATAGTCAAACAGCCAGTGAAACCGTCCGTCTGTAAATTGAAGCAATTGTTAGTCAGTCTGTTCGTCAGTCAGTTAGTCCGTCCACTAATCAAGCAGTCAGTCAGTTACTCAGTCAGTCATTCACTCATTTAGTCAGTTGGTCAATCAGTCTGTCCGTCAGTCAATCAGCTAGTTAGTCAGCCAGTGAATCAGTCTGTTAGTCAATCAATCAGTCTGTCAGGCATTCAATCAGTCTGTCCGTTGGTCAGTTAGTTAGTCAGTCGGTCAATCAATCAGCCTGTCCATCAGTGGGGACTTACTTTAACTTTTTGTTTATCTCTTATAGAGCTTAGCTTTATTTGCGTTCAATCATTTAAGTCGTCGTCTCTTGTTTAGCACAGCTGTATTTCGGGTACTGATACATCTTTATTCATTTATTCATCTTTAAGATTGTATTGTTCCCTTAAGCTCCTTACGTATAAGTCGCTTCGCAGCCCGGTTGTTTCTCAGCCGAATGCTGCTGTCTAGGACAGCATAGGAACCTAATCGTTTAATGGCAGTCGCTTCTCGCCTCGCACATTTCATAAATAATTAATAATCAGAGATATTTTTACGTGCTTTACTTATTTGGGACAGGTTGAGGGCTACCCTGCAGCTACCCCTGCTGCTCGGCTATGATTGATTGTTGGCTCGTGCGGTTGATTGATGAAACTGCATGCCAGCTACAATGCGATAGGTGGTTAGGATGGGACACAAGGGGGTGTAAAGGGGGTCGGGGCACCTGTCTCTCGCCTGCTGCGACTTTTATCGATTTTTGACCAGCTGACCCAGGTCCCGCATTGGAGCTGGTGTCCTTGTCTGGACACTAGCCTTAACGTCAGTCCAGCGTAATGCTGGTTTAATTAGTTGGCCAATATCATAAAATAATTTTAGCCAACTAATTGGCAGCACTTGACTGCAATTTATGTTCCACAACGTACTCGGATGTTCCAGTTGCCTCCATTGCCAAAGGCATTAAGCGTGATTTATACAACGCAACTCATATATGGACAGACGGCGAGACGGGACGGCACGGACTGAGTTGTATCTATAGCTGGTTACGTATGAGGCTGGTGCCCACGCAGAGCGACTTTGACTTGCACACGCATGAGCGCCTGCTTTGTGAGCTGGGCTATAAGGAGGCGGGACAGGCGGGGCAGGCAGCACAAAGTGTCCCTTGCCTGTGCGGTGGCTGCGGCTCCAGCTTCAGCTTCGGATCCAGCTCTGGCTTTTGGCTGGTGCGACTATTGTGATGGCTGTTGCTTCATATTTTTCATATCTTATGTCTGCATCATCGACGACGACGACGACGACGTAGCTGACAACAATGGAGACGCGTCCGGCATGAGTAGGAGCGGGTGCGGGGGAGCGTGGCCGGGGAAGTAAAACGCGGGCGGCCGTTCGCTTATTTGGCAAATAACAACAATGGGCAACGACAATGGGCAACGCGGCTGGCTGCGATGCCACCAACGCCCCAACAGACTTATCGATGAGTTTTATCCTGCCAGCAGGCGCATAACATGTGCCTGCCCCATGCCTCTTGCCTCCTGTCCCCGTCCCCCTTCCACCATTTCCCTGCCCAATGCGGCCATCCACTCAATGGTCGTCATCGTCATCGTTGCACAAATTAAAATGAATTTTATTTCTACTTGACACTCGGCGCTGCGACTTTGCGCTGCGCTGTTATATCAGCTATGTGTCGAGGCCGAGGCTGGCAAACGAGTTGGGAGTCCAACGTTATAAATCCCATCAAGAGCTCACTTAGTTATATCATTTAAAAAGGTGAAAGTCTCAACGACAGCTGGAGAAATGATATCAGTCACAAGTGAAAAGGCAAAAATGTCAGAATAAAAGATATAAGATTAAGGAATTTTGTTACTTCTTTTTTAATGCATTCAGCTTGGAAAGTTTCTTATACCAAAAATTGATTATTTTCTAAAAATGTTAAATCCTCTTTTAATATAAATATCAATGTTGGGATTTTCCATTTCATATTTTTATGATGAGTCTCGCGGAGGGTCGATAAATATATATTTTTGAGAATAAAATGATATTATTGAAAAGTTAAGGCACAAGAAATTCAGAATATAAACAAGCCCAAACCCCGAATAGTATAAATATTAAAAAATCCCATTTAACGCACGTGCTTTTCACGTTCCAAATTTATTTTGATTTATATTTAAAATTCATGCCAAATGATAAAAAATTTCCCAACGCATTATTTTTGGAAGTTTTTAAAAATAAGTATATTCGCAATTTCTTAAGAAATTTAAAAAGCTTTTAAAAAAGTTTTGTTTTAAAATACAATAAATTTGTAAATACATGTTAAACTTGAAAGCTCAAATAATCCGAAAACATTTGATTAATTAAAGAAAAACTTCGAAAGTGAATTCGTTCGTCATTAAACGCAACAATTTGTGGGCAGGGCATTTGAGTATCGTTGCGACTCTTTCATTGCCGCCGATATGTGTGGACTTAATGGTGGCAATAATGATAATAAGATAGCTAGACTGTCCGGCATTTGGAGCACGGCTATTGCCATTGACACACGCGCATTGTAAATGAGTTGATTTTGCGGCCAGCAATAAGCCGAGTTGAGCTGCTGCCTCATAAATAGGCAAGGCCCAGCTGACAGTGGAACAGATGGAACTATACTGGATGCAGTTGTGGTAGCCAACCCCTAGCCGCATGCTAAATGCTGTTGATGGGAGACTCACTCATAAATTCCACTGGAAAAACAATTGGAAAAAAACGAAATCGAAACAGTGAAAAACGTCGACAAAATATTCGACGCTCTCGACGATTAGCTAAAGTAGCGCATAAATTGTTTTTTGGGTTGGGTCGTGCTGATGTGCTGTGTGGGATTAAACGAAGCATGTCGGACACTACAGCTTTACAGTCAATATAGTTTGTGGTTTTCTGATTCAGCCTAGATGCAAACCCACACACATATACACATATGTATATGTATGTATAAATATATATAAAGCGACGCACTCAATCAGCTTAATTGGAAACAATAAAACGCATTTTAACGCGAATTTTCTTTACAGCTCATTTGATTTTCAACGCGTCGACTCCCAGCAACAACAACTGTTTTGGGTAGAGCTTCGCATGCTCCACTCCAGCACACATTGCCCCATTACTCATCTACCCATCAACTACCCGTCGTCCCAACCAGCTCATCGACACATTCAATTCTGTTAAAAGAAAAAAATAATAAAAAAAAAAAGAGAAAGAGGAAAACTTATTGCCAACCGGCTGAGAGTTGGGCGAAAAGTTCGACAGATCATTGGCGAAAGATTTTACATTTGGCATTTCGCATTTCGCATTTCCCATTGCCAGACCCCAACCACCGGACTACTCCGCCTATACAAAGAAGAAAAAAAAACCGACTCGCATCTGGCAAGCAATTTTTTGATATATGACTTTCGTGGCGAAAACAAACAAATTTGCAGGCGGTCGAGAAAGAAAAGTTCATAATTTTGCAGGCTTTTTAATTAAATGCCAAAGCAGCGCGCTGCCAAAGTGCGAGTGAAAAACACATGCAAAAAGAAAAGTGCGAATGGAAAACACACACACACACACTAACAAAAACATGTGAAAATCATTTGGCACCATGCGAATGAGTGCGAGTGCGAGTGCGAGCTGGCTCTACCCATAGACCAAGCGGCCCATAGACCGTGGGACTACATCGACAGCCAACGAGAGATAAGGCGGGGCGTTTACGGGGTGACAGGGCCAGGGTCTGGGGCGGGGACTGGGACTGGGACCGGGATCGTTGCGGAACCGGGGCCGTTCACAAGTTATGCGACCGTTTGTTGTAAACGGCACAAAAATTATGGGCGAAAAGCAAACAGGCCTCGGCCCAAAGAGGCTGGCCCACCATCTCTATAAACTGGCTACAAAATGTCTACATTTTTTATTTTATTTTCCTATTTTCGTTAGTTTTTCGTATGCAACAAGAGAAAAGCAAAGGCGGCGCAGACTCAAATGCTGGAGCTATAGACGAAAGATATCGCCACGCGGCAGTGAGGAGAAGGCGCGGGTTAGGGTATATATGTACATATAGCCAACAAGATGTGATCGAATTGCGAGTGGGCTGAACAGGCGCCAAGGCTTTAAATAGAAGAAAAGCATTCAAGTTATGTATAATTAAAGCCAAACAGATGTAACACAAAGATTTGGTTAGTTGCGTAGAAAAAAACCACAATGAAAAACTCTGCCAAACCGGGGCATTGGGAGTTGGGCTTAAAAATGATTGAGATAAGTTTAAAAGTGGGCAACATCTTAACTCTTATTAGTAAAGCCTACTGATATCATAATCATTATCATTATCATTATCATT